TCATATGTGATATTTACTCATTTTTATGTTCAGTTTGATTTAATACTAAGTTAGAAGGTTTGTTAATTTAACTTTCTGTAAAAATTTAGTTTAGAAAAACTGTTAAATGTCCCCCTCTAGTGGCATAGCTGTATGTCTGCGGACTTACAACACTAGGATCCGGGTTTCGATATCCGTCGTGGTGGGCAGAGCACAGATAGCCCATTGTTTAGCTTTGTGCTTAATTACAAAAACAAATAAACAAACTGTTAACTGTGTTATTAAATTCCTGAGCTGGAAAGTTATAGCAGAAACGTTTGTTGGTTAACCCCTTTCAATTGATAATACAAGATATTCATGTGTTTGTTTTGAATTTCGCGCAACGCTACACGAGGGCTATCTGCGCTAGCCGTTCCTAATTTAGCAGTATTACACTAGAGAGAAGGCAGCTAGTCATCACCACCCACCGCCAACTCTTGGTGCACTCTTTTACCAACGAATAGTTGGATTGAGCGTCACATTATAATGCCCCCACGTCTGAAAGGGCGAGCATGTTTGGTGTGCCGGGGATTCGAACCCAGATATTCATGTGAACCAGATAGTTTTTATTTGATGTCGGATAATTAGTTAAGAAAATCCCACAGTTATATATTATTATAAATCTTGACTTATAATATACTAGCTGAATTACCCGTTCCCTGCACAGGTGTCCAAATTACTGGAAAAGGGTATTTCAAAACACAATGGAATTATTATTCTTAACTTTGTTTAACGCAAAGTGGAGTTGTTAATGAGACATTTCTAAAAATGAGAATAAAATCACGACCTTGTTTGTTTGTTTTGGAATTTCGCGCAAAGCTACACGAGGGCTATCTGCGCTAGCCGTCCCTAATTTAGCAGTGTAAGACTAGAGGGAAGGCAGCTAGTCATCACCACCCACCGCCAACTCTTGGGCTACTCTTTTGCCAACGAATAGTGGGAATGACCGTCACATTATAACACCCCCACGGCTGAAAGGGCGAGCATGTTTGGTAGGATGCGGATTCGAACCCGCGACCCTCAGATTGTGAGTCGAGCGCCTTATCCACCTGGCCATGCCGGGCACAAATCACGACCTATATCTCCAGAATGTAACTTTATTAGCTCAATATTTCTCAATACGCAAGATGCAAAACTGAAAACTTGTATGTATTTCCTATGGACCCAACAAACCATCATGCCAACTTTGGTGAAGATCCATCAACAGGGAGCGAAGTAGTGGTTGAAAACGTAAAAACGCCCGTAAAAATCGCAAAACGCTAAATGCAAACCTGAAAATCTGTATGTATCTCCCCATGGACCCAACAAACATACATACCAAATTTGTGAAGATCCATCAAAAGGAGGTGAGATAGTAGTAAAAAAAGCCCATAAAAACCGTAAAACACAAATTTCATCAGTGAAAATTTATATGTATCTCCCCATGGACCCAGTAAACCTTCTTACCAAATTTAGTGAATACCATTTAGAGAGGGCGAAATAGTGGTAAAAAACGCAAAATGCAAAATGAAAATTTGTATCTACCCCCGCATGGAACGAATGAACCTCCATACCAAAGTTGGTGAAGATCCATCGACAGGGGGTGAGGTAGAGGTAAAAAACGATAATTTGGTCAATATCTGCGTCACAGGTTTACTGATTAACAGTTTTCATCAGAACTAATTCCAACATTTTGTAAATTCTATATCCAGGTTGGGCAAAGCATTCCTATATACAGTGTATAACTGTGTCTAGAGCTTCAAAGTAAATTACTCTAAGTCTGTCCTCAACACTCTCAGGAAAATGTTAATCACTGGTACCTTCTTCATACTTCGAGTTTCGTTTTCTTTTTCTAGACAACGTTGGCTTACTAATATCCAATGCATTTGTCTCTTTTTTTCCACTTTCTGGTAAAACACGTTCAATCTTGCCTCTGAACAAATTCCCTGGAGTGTCATATTCACACTCTCCATCAGATTTTGGCCTTCTGCTGCACTTATGTTAACCATCTGGAGCCCTTTACTTATATTGTCACAGTGGCTAAGGAGGAGTTCTCCCAGACTTAATCCAAAGTAAAAATCAAATTTGTCCATAACAGTATTCATACTCCTGATTCTGGACCGCATTTCTGGGTCCTTAACCTTCTCTCCTGAAGTGTCCCACAGTTTCTGCAGATACTTGTAGTTATGTCTGATGGATGTCATAGCTTGTCTATTTACCATCCATTTGGTGGGGCAGAGAACTCGGATACTTGGAGTTTTTTCTTCAGCATCAGTATCTTATTCTTTTATCCCTTTGTAAGTGGCTTTCCTGAAGACTTCTTGATCAACTTGGTGATTTCATTAGTATAATTTAGAGCACACGGAGGCAGCTAATTAATCGGAGGGTATCATGTATGGGCAAATTTAGCATGTGGCCATAGCACTGAGTGTAGAGGGCCCTAGGCATGATGCTGACGATTTGTCTGGCAACTCCATTTCTAGTACCACTTATAGCACTTGCTCCATCCTAGCACTCACCTCTTAACTTTTTCATGAACAAATTTCCCCTCAGTATCATATCTTTAATCACGTGAACTAGTGAATTTGCATTCATTGAGCTCACAGAGTGAAGACCAACAAAATCTTCATGGGCATCACAGTTTTCGTTTAACCACCTGAAACGCAGTCAGTTGTCTCATCTATAAAAACTGTCAAAAACCTTGACAGTTACTGAAGATACACCTTAGGATATGATCTCTCATAATTTTTAGAATTTCATTTTATGTTTCTGCCGAAGTATATTTGTTCCTTCTCTTCTGTAACAATATGGCTAGTTTGGGGTCATCTTTAGCTTGCAATGGGTTTAGCTGGTTAAAATTATACTGTACTTCGTCCTTCCTCCTCATGGTCTCTGCTTGCATTCCCAAGAAGTGCAAGTTTGAAATCAGTTTTAGCAAGCATGCCTTGCAATAATCTCTTTCTTGCTTGAATGTGGAAACGAGTATTGTCACCTACATCTTGTGTACATTCATTCCATAATGCTTGGGCTTTGCAATGGCAGATGCACTGTTTGTTCGTTTGAAACGAGGCATTACCTTCCTTCCAGTTGCTATTTCCTCTGGTAATGAAGGCATGGTCCAGATGTGAGTCATTTCTAACATTATTCTCATGGTACATATGATTACATGCCACTCAAAGGACCACATCTAGGCTCTCAATGTAATGTATCCACTCATGAGTTTCAAACGAAGACACTTTGCAATGGCTCGTCCTTGGAATTTTTTTCCTATATAACCTTCCAGGAAATGTGTAGCCCTTTGTGGGTACATGCCTATCTATGATTTTACTAGCATTGGCATCAGAAACGGCTGGTTTGGTTTCAAGGAGACAACAACTTTATGTTTCGTTTCTAACCCTTCATTTATTTCAGCGGCTTGAGGATTGATGGCCTGAGAAGGTTCACTATCATCACTAACTGAGGAATTATTATCAGGACTTGACTTGGAAAATGGAATAATCAAAAGTTCTGTGTTCAGTAAAAAAGCTTGAGAGAGGCACGTACCTTATGAATAATGGTAATAATTGTACTATTCACTCATATAACATATATCGATAGTCTGCAAATTAATCTATATAAGTATTGTTACGTCTCTGGTCGTTTGTTAATTTCCCGTATAATTTCTTTCGGATGAAACTTTAGCGATACAAGTCCTTTCTTAAATAAAACTGGTTTATTCTTTCTGAATACAACTTTGCAATACACTTAATTTCCACAGTCGCGCTATAACGAACGCTGTAATTCTCAACGAACGTCTCACGTGCTCAACAATATTCTCTCTCCGCAGTTCAATTACACATTACCTTAGTTGCTTCTTGGCCGGTCTTATATATACAAGACTACCCCAATCTAGTAGTCTCCCTACATTTCATGAAGGTTTGAGAAGGAAGTGGCGTGATACAAGCGTCACGTGACCTGCGTTGTCGTAACAATATTATATACACTTGATCATTATAAGAGGCTCAATGACATTTCTTTGGTTTGCTGACCCAAACTGTGGTGATGAGCCTTGAATAGGTGAAACTGCAGTTCATAGAGGGTACGCTAATCAAAGAATGCATTAGGCCTGTACGCTACAGATTCTCTTTTCAATCTCACCTCTGGTAAAAAAGGAAATCTTTAACCTATATATATTTATATATACACAGCTATCATTAATTCTATTTTCATATTAGGTTGGAGTTGGCATGGCCAGGTGATTAGGGCGCTCGACTCGTAATCTGCAGGTTCGAATCCCCGTCCCGCGAAACATGCTCGCCCTTTCAGCCGTGGGGACGCTATAATGTGATAGTCAATCCCACTGTTTGTTGGTAAAAGAGTAGCCCCAGAGCTGGTGGTGAATGGTGATGACTAGCTACCTTACCTCTAGTCTTTCACTGCTAAATTAGGGACTGTTAGCGCAGATAGCCCTCGTGTAGCTTTGCGCGAAGTTCCAAAGAAACCAAATTCATATTAGGCCCAGTGAAAAGAAATTGGTCGAAACGTTGATATATAAAATAAAGTTTCTCTGTGGGACAGCAGTATGTTTTCGGACTTACAACACTAAAACCTGAGGTTCGATTCCCCTCGGTGGACACAGCATAGTGCCCCAAACAAAAATATAAAATAAATTTGTTTATTTTTCAACTTTTATTTTTGCAGTGATTTTATTTTGTGCATTAATCACCAAACGTTGTGCGAATTCTAATTCTCCTGATCCCTATAATTTTCCCCACACACTAATTAACAGTTTATATACTTGACTTTATTACATAAACCAGTACAAGACAAAATTTGTTTCTTTTTTTATCCTTTGCTTATATTTGGTTTACCGGCTGCACAGGAGATTGTACATTATAACAATGATTATTAACTATTGTATCCGGACTTCTAATTGGCTTCTTTATCCATCTTGTGATACGCAAAGCCAATGAAAGCTTTTGTTTGATATGCCACTCTTTCGATCACGTGTCCTCAAATTTAGGCGCCATCTTGGGAGAAGTTATGGTTAGCAGTTGGTAGGCTTAGGTGTTATAAATTTGTTTTAACATTTACTGAGGGTGCAATTTGTTAAAATACAGTAACGGTATTAAAGAAAGTTTTATAATTTTTGACTATTCTTTCTGGTGCATTTCATAATAGATTATGAGTGACATTGATCCTTCAAAATTAAAAGTCGTAGAGCTTAGGGCAGAACTTCAAGCTCGCGGGCTCGATACGAAAGGAAACAAAGCAGTACTCGTTAAGCGTCTGAAATCTGCCCTGAACCACGAAGAAAAAGATGACAGTATTGATGCTGGTGAGTTTTGAATTTCAAATTGTGGTACTAACTTTCAGTTTCACGCCAAAGTTCTGTATTCAGGTAGAAGCTGAAGAGCCAACTGAATAATAGAAAATATTAGTAAAATCCCGATTGTTAATTGACAGTGACACTGACATGGAAATAGATTTTTAAGTTGTAACTTGCACTGAATAATGAATTAACACTATACACTATTAAATACGATAGAAATACAGATGTATTTTAATTTGATCAGTTTACTGCTGTCATTAGTAAAACAAAAAATAAGCTCATACTAGTATACTCCTAAAGCTTAAAGTTTTTACTAAAAATGTTAGGTAGGATAGACCGAGAGACCTACAGCCCCACCTAGTTCAAATATTGACGTAGGTGCTCCTTTATTTCAATTTGAAACTCTTATATCATAGCACACAAGGTAAAATGCCTGTGTAAGATCTTAATGCATACTTAATTTTAGTCAATTTCTAGTAACATCTCTTGTTTGCATGGACTGGTGGTTAGGGTGCTTAACTTGCAATCTGAGTGTTGCGTGTTCGAATTCCCATCACACCAAACATGCTCGCTCTTTCAGCCATGAGAGCATTATAATGTGACAGTTTATCCCAATATTAATTGGTAAAAGAATAACCCAAGAGTTGGCAATGGGTGTTTTGACTAGCTGTCTTCACTTTAATCTATCACTGCTAAATTATGGACGGCTAGTGCAGATAGCTCTCTTGTAGCTTTGTGTGAAATTCAGAACAAACCAAATCAAACTATACCAATCTTGGTTGCATTAAAATTATACAATAATGTTGACAAATACATTACAATATACAATTTTCCTTTGGGAATGTTATTGTTTCGATTTATTCTTTTGGTTTTACTATTTATAAGTACTTTGGTAAATTAAACATATTTTACAGACATTTAGTTTGCAATCTGAACAAGCTCGCATTATGTATTAAAGTAGTAGTTGTATCTTTTAACATATTTATTAGAATTATTGTGCCATTTTCATGTAGTTGAGAGAAGTTACTTGGAACTACCAGATGATCAGTGTAGCATTCGACCTCTTACAGAAATTTTGTTTTAACATTGAGGTTATGGTACAGTAGTAAGTATCAAGTTATGAAAAAAGTATCTACTCAATATTTGAAATTCATCTTCATCCTACAGCTCACCATGTTATTTTTTGCCATTATTGGCATTGAAAAATTCCTTGCATATTTTAATAAAAGTTATTTTAAATCAGGTTGTTTGTTTTAACTTTTATACTTAAACTAGTGACAAAGGGAAGTGGCTATCTTTTCTGGAAGCAATGCTGTGTTTCTTTCACTTTCTCATAAGATTCAAAGTTGAATTTACATTGCTTATGCCAGAGTGAAAAATATCTTCTTATTCTTGTGAGGTTGACAGTTCAATTACATTCCAAACTTTCTTGATCATTACAAATTTAGGCCAGACCAAAATATGAAAATTTTTTCTTAATTTACAGAAATACAAATTTTCCCGCACTGCTTCCTGGATTTTGATAAAAAAAAGCCTGACATTATGGTCAAGAAGCGACTTGAGCAAATTTTTCAGTGAATGATAAGATCAAGCTTCTACCTAAGCCCAAGGGTAACTGTCAATAATTAATGGATCATTTTGAGAACTGGTTCAGTATTATTTGATATGCAGCATCAGAAACAAGTAATGTATATATTTATAATTGCAGTTATATTTATAATACACTTCTGCTAATTGTTCCATGTTAATATCTTAATATCCCCTTTTCTGGGTATTGCTCTAGACCTGTTGAAGCCCATGATTGAGAAAATCCAAATTCTAATAAATCAATTTGTATTGATTAATATTGCAGTGCTTGACTTTTAAAGAATCAAGTAAGGAAAAGTTACTTTATTTTTAGTGGAAAAGAAAAATCTTAAAATTAAAGTGGCAAATTCCATTGAATTTGATATTTTGTGCTATAACAATAATTGTTTGGTGTGAATACTTTTTACAAGCTGACAAAGCATGATTATAATTATACTTCTCATCAGACATTAACCATAAACACTGCCAATGATGCATCTTGCTGTTTAGGCCAGCTGGGATACAACAAATAAAGTAGTGGTCAGAATACTATTTTTTATAAGCCATTAGTTACAGCAACAGTTACTGTGGTGTATGTGCCCTTTACAAGCTGGTGAAGCATGATTAGAATTATACTTTTATAATTTTTTGATATAGTCTTAATTTTAGTTTCTTAATGATCAAGAAAGTTGGAATTTGATTCAAGATTAGAGGTGTAATGTGTGCTTATCTAGGTAGCTGTATTCACTGTTTAGTAGTTGTATGATTTAACTCTCAGCATATCATTTCTAATGAAATTGTTACTTTATGTAATTTTGTAAATTAAGTGAAAAGGGCAGTGAATAAATTATGATGTAAGATGTCTGTATGATAAAACACGTAATACGAATCAGATATAGTTTGATGAAACCTGAGTACTGGTCTTCAGGTAAAATTCCACTTGGCACTTTCATGTTCAAATAGATCAGTAATATCATTATACATTCTGTATGGGGCAGTGAACTTTTCCTGGTGATCAGGATATCAATTGCACCGTGTTTTCTTTCAAATTACTGATCACCTCTAGTTTTCAAGTTATGATAAAGTTATTCAAAATATTCTTGTATATGCTGCTTTGATAGACAAGTCATAAATCAAATCATTTAACTTTTCTTGTGTGATCAGATGAGGCAGTTTATGTTTAGGTGCCGCAGGAATAGAATTACTACATGAAGAGGTTGAAGATGATTCATTGTCTTCTTTGTAGGATAACTCTTCTGTTTCCCAATTTGGTGGTGTATGTGGCACTGGAAGACCATCCCCATGAGGTACTGGTTTCATTGCAGATGCAATGTGTAGATATTTAATGCCTTGTTTAGTTTTGCCTGAATATCCAAAAACATTATGCAAAAATACCAGTCAGTTATATTATCTTTGGGCTCACTCCATATCATGGGAACTGCAAATGGCATATTTGCTCTCTTTTTATTCAGAATCTGTGTCAAGCAAGTTGTGCAAACTCTACATCACGTGTGGAGCTCAGTGTTTTTCTTGATCTCCAATTTTACACCCAAAATAGTGGCAGTAAGCTGCCTTTACCTTGTGTGTGATGTTTTTCTTTGTGAAGCAGTAATATATTTTCCACAGATGTAGCAGAAACTGTTCTGGTGATTTTTGCACTTTCGGAATTTACTTGAACTGGAGGCAGCCAGCATTTCAAATAATTTTCTAAAAAATATAAAATAATTTATACTTACAGAACTAGAGTTGAAAAAATTTAAAAACAAAGTTTTGCAGAATTTTATTATAATAAGAACAAATAGTGTATATGAACAGTATATTTGGAATTTAACATCAATACAATACATTCAGTGTTTGAAGTTATCAAAAATGTATGCCTTTTACTCATTAATGCTTTCAGCATGGGCTCGATCCCTGGGTCCCACCTCGTAACCATTTTGTGCTTGTTATAGTTTTCATGCTATAACTTTTAAATTAATAAGTGAGAATGTTAACGAAATTTGGAAATTTATCAGTAAACATTACAATGCTTTCATATTCAAAATATAAATTTTTTTTATTAAGTCTTTAGGTTTATAAAGCAATGTTTCTCTCTTGCCTTTTTTTCTTTTCATATCTTGCCTATCTATCATGCAAAGTAATTTTCATTTTAAGATTAAAAATACTTTTGTGCATCAGAAAATTTTGAAATTTCACATGCAAAATCTTTATAATGTCTAGATAGTTATCAAACATTTCTTAGGAAAAAAAAATTTATCTGTTATTTTAAGTAATTAATCTTTGTACGAATTCAGTAAACTTGATCGATCTCGCAACCCCCAAAAAAAAAAAAAAAAAAAA